CTGTTATAATATTAGGATTTGGATTTTACTAATTTTTGAGAAACTTTCATTTTTTATAGAACGCAACACAGATAAATTTTATATAGAAGAGACGATAGGTAAAATAAATGAGTGATTTCAAAGTCAAGTATTCAAATAACTCATTGGTTTCTAATCATATCTCATATCAAATGATAGAAACAATTCTGCTTTTGATGTGTAATCAATGTTGACGAAAAGAAAAGAATGAAGCCAAAAGTTCACCAATTGACTATTATTTCCTCTATGATAGTTTTCAAAGAGAAATTGGATTTTTAATAAAATTATCTTTATTCTACTAGTTTATGTGACATGATTTCGTTATGAAGTTTTGAGGGTATTATGCATGAGCGTAAATCGATAATGAATATAATGAAAAGCAAAATTTCTGGTATATGTATATAAAACTAAATTTAACTTCACATATTTCTGATTAAGTGAAGCTTCACTGAAGGTTAAATGTACCAAACCGATGTTTTAATAATTTTTGTGATAAATTTTTGTCAAGTAATTATATATTCAATTAACAATATAAAGACCTAGAAGCAATCCTTAGGGTACAAATATTGAATCCAATTATAAGTTATTATTGGAGCACTTGCAGTTAACCGCGATTTATCGTATAACTGAACGTTTTATGCTATAATTACTTAATCTAAATTATTTATCATTGAACCGTTTTTATAGAAAGGAAGGATAAAACAGTTATATATTTATAATGTTATCATTTTGTTCTTCGTTTCTTTATTTGTAATTAACTACTTAGGAATAATTACTTTACTTACTGTATGTTTAAAGTGCTTAAAGGATGAAGGGGATCCAAACTTAAGATCCTTCTTCCTCTGATTATTAAACGACTATTTTAAAAATAAGATTGTTTTTAAGTACAAAAAGTGTACACCAATGAAAAGGAATATATTACTTTATATTTCTAATCATTCCTTCTACGTATTTATTTATATTTATTCATAAATGTTAACGATGTAAAAAATTTTTAAAACTAACTAAAAACAATTTGAAAACGATAAGACAATCGTCCTTTTTCGTTATTTCAAACATTTTAAATGATAAGGAAATTGCAATATACGTACATTTCATACTTACGCGCACATATTTCAATCAGGAATATGAAAATAATGTGTACCGATATACATATAAACACTTTCAATTTATATGCACATCAACAAAACATAAATCTTTCCGGTTTTGTTTCTTGAAGTACCTCGCTTTAAATTACATCGCGTTTCTCTACATGGAAATAACAAAAAACAAGGAAACTAATCGTTTTTTGTTAACCGCTACAAACCAACATTCATTGCCATCTAGATCCAGTATCCCCAGTATTAATCTGCCCAGTATAAGTTAAACATTCGAACGAAAAAGATGTTCTTTAAACGATTTCCCTTCACTCTTGTTACATTAATAACGCTTACCACATTCATAGTCAGGTGAGTATTTAATTTGAATTTAATTTCCTGCATCACCATTGTTCTGTTTTAATTATCATTATTATTTTAAACAGTTCTATCGCCAATGGTCCGTGTGTTCGGCAATTAACACAACCATTCAACATTAGCGAAGAGCCTACTTGGGATGATCGAATTAAATTGTTATATTTTGTTGACATACTGGCCGGAAGAATATATTCTTATGATCCTGTAACAACAATTTTGAATCATATTCAACTGGACGGTTATGTTACACCCATTATTCCCACAGTGCATGATACCCATGTATTTGTGGCAGGGCTAAATAGAACGCTTGTTGCTATACGATGGTATCCTAAAGGTAGCAGATTGGAAGCTGTTGGTACTCTTACAACAGTGGCAAAACAATTTCCATCTAGTCAATTCAACGATGGAAAAGCAGATGCCAAAGGAAGATTGTGGATAGGTAAGTTTTCTTTAAGTATTTTTTAAGCTGCTTTTAATGATGCGGTCAGAAATTTTTATAGGTGGGGGAGAAGTTCATCAAATACTGACAATGAGTAGTTTATAGTGGTTTATAAGAAATCTACGACGTTCAGTTGCAATTAGTTACTTAATGCTAACAGTCTTATTACTTACCTATTACATAACAAACCTAATAGATTTGCTTTAGTGCATAGCACTAATAAATCTACTATATGCGTCGTGTTAATTATAATCATCTTCAAAAAAATAATATTCTTTGGTACTTTCAACACTAAATCAATACTAAAAACTACACAAACATTAAAAGTAATCGTGCATGCTTCTTTTGTACTTTTAATAGCAATTTGGAACCAGTGGTCGCTGGTACGCGTACCATTAACTTATTATAAAGAGTGCGGAACGACTGTTCACACGGCCCGCACATGGGCGATTAAAGCACATACTATAAGAATACGTACTTTTTTTGAGAGCATTTTTTCAGTATGGTATATAAAAGGTGACACTATCCACATAATTAAAAGTACAGAAAAACCATTTGGGTAGCAAGAACATTTAGTTTTTGTTTATTATAATAAATATATGACGCATTTTATTGTGTTACTTTTTAAGTATCAGTATATTATTATTATGTTAAGAACAATAACAATGACAACGGTCCCATCCCTGGATCTCCGCTATTTAGTTTAGTTTAATTACGTTTATGATGATGATGTTAAGGTCCATTGAACATCTACCTTGTTGGCTTCGGGTCATGTTCACTGAACCTTAACAACTATCAGTATAAATTAGGATTAGTTCTCATTTAGGTTTAGTTTACTTCAGTCCCTGAAGAAGGTAACTTTGTTACCGAAAAGTGCTTCGGACAACTACAGTGTCGTGTTTTGGCGTTGGGGTTTTGAGCTATTCTGTTTGTTCTACAACAACCGCCAAAGTTTTTCCAATCTTCATATTTCGTCATGGCTTCCCGGTCATCGGATTTAAACAGGTATCACAAACTTAGTTGTAAGATTAGATTAATTGGTGCAGATATCCAATTCTTAAAAACCTGTAAACGTAACTCTCTTTTCCCAGAGTTTATGAATATTAAAGTTTCAAAGAACTGTAAAGTTATTGAAAAAATAACCACTTTTGCTAAGCGTAAGTGGCTAGATTTAGAATTGGATTTCTTGTACTCAAAACGTAGTCTACTTGAAATAGAGGCGTATAATTTATTTAAATCTTTAACTTATAATTTAAGTGAAAAAGAATTCAAAAAATGGAGCGATTTTCAAAGGAAGATGTTTTTATCTATAGATTGTAAATTTCATAAAAAGGTGAACATTCATAAAAAGAAGTTACGTAAGTTAGGTATATTCTCCAAACCACTTCCTAAGAAGGTCGAACACATTGTAGAGAATCTGTCATCTCAAGTTTTTGATAATGCCGAAATTAGTTTACTCAATAAAGGATTAAAGTTTGCCTTGCCTTCTCCTGCTACAGCCTTAGAAAATGTTATAGGACATGTTGAAAGTTCAATTCAACATCTTGATGACAATTCCAAAGGCTATATCAGAGAGGCTTGCAAACTAAAATTGAAAACCAGCTTAAAATCTCAGAGTTCCCATATTAAAAATGCTAATATGAAAGTTATCAAAAAATTGAGAGATAAGGATTGTTTTTACGTAAAAGCTGACAAAGGTAATAAAGTTGTGATTTTGGATAAAAAAGACTATTACGATCGGGTTGATGACCTTATTAACAACGGACCTTATTCAAAATTAAATAAAAATCCTTTACCTAGTATGGTTGCTGGGTTTACTAAAACCGTAAAACAATGTCACAACATTATTACTCCTACATTAAAACGAAATTTACTTGTATCATGTCCAACAGTTCCCCGTTTGTACTGTTTGCCCAAGATACATAAACCAGGTAAGTCGATGCGACCAATTGTCTCTGCAATTGGTGCACCAACTTATAAATTAGCCAAGTGGTTGACAAATGAATTCAACAACCTCCCTATTAAACCACCTAGTTTTTCAGTTAAAAATTCTATTGAATTCATAAACAAAGTCAAAGACGTAAAACTAAAAGACAGTGAGGTTATGGTTTCATTTGATGTTTGCTCCCTTTTTCCAAGTGTACCTGTTCCGCTTACTTTGACGTATTTAGAGGATTTACTTAAAGAAAATGGTTTCTCCGCCGACATTGTAGCTGAGTACATAACTCTGGCTTCAATGTGCATGCGGCAAAATTATTTTCAGATAAATGGTTGCTTCTACGAACAGAAAGAAGGAACAGCTATGGGGAATTCTTTATCACCCTTTATAGCCGACCTTTTTATGAGTCGTTTTGAAAGTGACCTTAGCCACCTTGAGTTTTTTCCTCGAATATGGCTTAGATACGTGGACGACATTTTTGCTATCTTCGATTTAAGTTCCAGAAGTCTTCAAGACTTTCTTGATGTTTTAAATTCACGTTTCCCTTCGGTTAAATTTACAGTAGAAATGGAAAAAGATGGCAAATTACCATTTTTAGATACGTTGGTTATAAGAAATGGGAATTCTTTAGAATTCGACATCTACAGAAAACCCACTAATACCTCTAGATATATACCCAACGACTCTAATCATTGTGTTCAACATAAAATGGCTAGTTTTAACTTCCTTGTACACAGATTACTTAGCTTCCCTCTTAGTAAAAATAGATATAATAAGGAACTCTGTACAATTAAGAAAATTGCAAAAGACAATGGTTACAATTGTAACATTATTGATAAATTAATTAATAAGATAAAATTTAGGAATTTTATTTCAAGATCTACGACTTTTCAAACAGATGCTAATAAAACCAAGTTTATTACTATGCCATACGAGCCAAGATTTACTCGCGGACTCGAGGGTATTTTTCGAAAACTTGGTTTACGGATTGCTTACAGTTCAAATGGCAACTCCATTCAAACTCTCCTTGGTAACCCTAAGGATAAAATTCCATTCTTAGAAAAGTCGGGGATATATGAAATTAGTTGTAATGACTGTAGTAAAAAATATATTGGACAAACTAGACGTTCAATCAAAACCAGATTTAAAGAACATCTAGCTCATGCTAGGTTTGGTAGAGAAGAAAAATCTAGTGTTGCCCAACATATTCTTACTGATGGACATAATATTAATATTAATAACCTTAAGTTAGTTAAAGAAGTTAGGAATAATCGTTTACTAAACAGTTTTGAAAGTTTATACATTTATAAAAATAAACAAATTGTTCTTAACAATGACAACGGTCCCATCCCTGGATCTCCGCTATTTAGTTTAGTTTAATTACGTTTATGATGATGATGTTAAGGTCCATTGAACATCTACCTTGTTGGCTTCGGGTCATGTTCACTGAACCTTAACAACTATCAGTATAAATTAGGATTAGTTCTCATTTAGGTTTAGTTTACTTCAGTCCCTGAAGAAGGTAACTTTGTTACCGAAAAGTGCTTCGGACAACTACAGTGTCGTGTTTTGGCGTTGGGGTTTTGAGCTATTCTGTTTGTTCTACAACAACCGCCAAAGTTTTTCCAATCTTCATATTTCGTCATGGCTTCCCGGTCATCGGATTTAAACAGGTATCACAAACTTAGTTGTAAGATTAGATTAATTGGTGCAGATATCCAATTCTTAAAAACCTGTAAACGTAACTCTCTTTTCCCAGAGTTTATGAATATTAAAGTTTCAAAGAACTGTAAAGTTATTGAAAAAATAACCACTTTTGCTAAGCGTAAGTGGCTAGATTTAGAATTGGATTTCTTGTACTCAAAACGTAGTCTACTTGAAATAGAGGCGTATAATTTATTTAAATCTTTAACTTATAATTTAAGTGAAAAAGAATTCAAAAAATGGAGCGATTTTCAAAGGAAGATGTTTTTATCTATAGATTGTAAATTTCATAAAAAGGTGAACATTCATAAAAAGAAGTTACGTAAGTTAGGTATATTCTCCAAACCACTTCCTAAGAAGGTCGAACACATTGTAGAGAATCTGTCATCTCAAGTTTTTGATAATGCCGAAATTAGTTTACTCAATAAAGGATTAAAGTTTGCCTTGCCTTCTCCTGCTACAGCCTTAGAAAATGTTATAGGACATGTTGAAAGTTCAATTCAACATCTTGATGACAATTCCAAAGGCTATATCAGAGAGGCTTGCAAACTAAAATTGAAAACCAGCTTAAAATCTCAGAGTTCCCATATTAAAAATGCTAATATGAAAGTTATCAAAAAATTGAGAGATAAGGATTGTTTTTACGTAAAAGCTGACAAAGGTAATAAAGTTGTGATTTTGGATAAAAAAGACTATTACGATCGGGTTGATGACCTTATTAACAACGGACCTTATTCAAAATTAAATAAAAATCCTTTACCTAGTATGGTTGCTGGGTTTACTAAAACCGTAAAACAATGTCACAACATTATTACTCCTACATTAAAACGAAATTTACTTGTATCATGTCCAACAGTTCCCCGTTTGTACTGTTTGCCCAAGATACATAAACCAGGTAAGTCGATGCGACCAATTGTCTCTGCAATTGGTGCACCAACTTATAAATTAGCCAAGTGGTTGACAAATGAATTCAACAACCTCCCTATTAAACCACCTAGTTTTTCAGTTAAAAATTCTATTGAATTCATAAACAAAGTCAAAGACGTAAAACTAAAAGACAGTGAGGTTATGGTTTCATTTGATGTTTGCTCCCTTTTTCCAAGTGTACCTGTTCCGCTTACTTTGACGTATTTAGAGGATTTACTTAAAGAAAATGGTTTCTCCGCCGACATTGTAGCTGAGTACATAACTCTGGCTTCAATGTGCATGCGGCAAAATTATTTTCAGATAAATGGTTGCTTCTACGAACAGAAAGAAGGAACAGCTATGGGGAATTCTTTATCACCCTTTATAGCCGACCTTTTTATGAGTCGTTTTGAAAGTGACCTTAGCCACCTTGAGTTTTTTCCTCGAATATGGCTTAGATACGTGGACGACATTTTTGCTATCTTCGATTTAAGTTCCAGAAGTCTTCAAGACTTTCTTGATGTTTTAAATTCACGTTTCCCTTCGGTTAAATTTACAGTAGAAATGGAAAAAGATGGCAAATTACCATTTTTAGATACGTTGGTTATAAGAAATGGGAATTCTTTAGAATTCGACATCTACAGAAAACCCACTAATACCTCTAGATATATACCCAACGACTCTAATCATTGTGTTCAACATAAAATGGCTAGTTTTAACTTCCTTGTACACAGATTACTTAGCTTCCCTCTTAGTAAAAATAGATATAATAAGGAACTCTGTACAATTAAGAAAATTGCAAAAGACAATGGTTACAATTGTAACATTATTGATAAATTAATTAATAAGATAAAATTTAGGAATTTTATTTCAAGATCTACGACTTTTCAAACAGATGCTAATAAAACCAAGTTTATTACTATGCCATACGAGCCAAGATTTACTCGCGGACTCGAGGGTATTTTTCGAAAACTTGGTTTACGGATTGCTTACAGTTCAAATGGCAACTCCATTCAAACTCTCCTTGGTAACCCTAAGGATAAAATTCCATTCTTAGAAAAGTCGGGGATATATGAAATTAGTTGTAATGACTGTAGTAAAAAATATATTGGACAAACTAGACGTTCAATCAAAACCAGATTTAAAGAACATCTAGCTCATGCTAGGTTTGGTAGAGAAGAAAAATCTAGTGTTGCCCAACATATTCTTACTGATGGACATAATATTAATATTAATAACCTTAAGTTAGTTAAAGAAGTTAGGAATAATCGTTTACTAAACAGTTTTGAAAGTTTATACATTTATAAAAATAAACAAATTGTTCTTAACAATGACAACGGTCCCATCCCTGGATCTCCGCTATTTAGTTTAGTTTAATTACGTTTATGATGATGATGTTAAGGTCCATTGAACATCTACCTTGTTGGCTTCGGGTCATGTTCACTGAACCTTAACAACTATCAGTATAAATTAGGATTAGTTCTCATTTAGGTTTAGTTTACTTCAGTCCCTGAAGAAGGTAACTTTGTTACCGAAAAGTGCTTCGGACAACTACAGTGTCGTGTTTTGGCGTTGGGGTTTTGAGCTATTCTGTTTGTTCTAAAATGAAAATATCATCAGTATCCCATTGTAATAGGTACCTTTGTACTCGTATAGTTACACAATACACATTTAGGGTATGTGTATGCGATTCATATTGGTGGGATGATCACAGACTTACGGAAAAGACGACATTTCATTTATTCTTTTATAAAATTACGTAGATTTCATTCGCATGTCCCCAAAATTGATTAGAAAGCGTAGAGATGTGCAGTAATAAGTTCTCAGTAATTAAAGTTTATTAGTCTCTGTTATGAAAAAGCTATAAATTTAGTTTAATCTATTCTTGAAGAGGGTATTTTTACTCCCCTTAGTAGCTACCGTTTCCATTCCGAATAATATGTGACAATATTTTACTAATAATCCATATCTACTCACAATTAAATCTAATCTTTAGGAACAATGGGCTACGAAAATTCAATTGGCGTGGTTCCAAACCAAGGTTCGCTCTATTTAATAACAAAGGAAAATATTGAAAACCCTGAAGTTGTAATAGCTCCTGTTAATATTAGTAATGGTTTGGCGTGGAATAAAGCAAACACGAAATTCTTTTACATCGACACCCCAACTCGTCAAGTTAGGGTGTACGATTTCGACCTTAAAGCTGGTAAAATTTCAAATCCAAAAGTAGTCTTTGATGTGAGCGAACACGACGAATTAACGGGGAATCCCGACGGAATGACAATAGATGAAGACGATAATATATGGGTGGCACTGTACGGGGGTGGAGCTGTGGTTAAAGTTGATACGAAAACTTTAAAAGTTTTGCAGATAATAGCAATACCAGCTTTAGATGTTACATCTGTGTCTTGGGGTGGTGAGAAACTTGATATTTTGTTTGTAACATCATCACGATTTGCACTTAGCCCAGAAGAAAGAAGACAACAACCCGCTGCCGGAAGCTTGTTCGCGGTTTACAATTTAGGTGCTCGGGGTTTACCCGCTCATTATGCCGATGTAATTGATGATGTAAAACTTCCCTGCTTAAGATGAATTTAAGTTTTCTACAATAAAAAATTATCAGTATGTTTTATTAAGTTCGATATCTCAAAAGAACAAACGAAAACATTTGAGCTATTACAATATTGCCATTAATGCCTCAGATGTTAATTAGGGACAAATGCTTTATTAATTTTTTAAACCAGATGTATTATATAACATAAACGCCTAAACCTATCCTTAAAAAAATCTAAAAATAATAGGCGAAACGTCGATCTAGTTTTTTAAAATATTAATAAGTATGTATTCCTTATCATTGGCTCTGAATTAACATCTGAAGAAGAAATGGTTATTGCCATTTATGTTCATCAACATTTTCATAATCATAATTCCCTATATATGTATATTAATTTACAGAGATTTTATCTTTACATTTTATTAAAAAGAACCGATAACGTTTGGATTATGTGCAGTGCATACGTTCACGTCTTCAACTGTAATTAAATTTACATATATAATAGTGCTCATTTTTCAATTTAATTTTCACAACAATTAGGTAGATATTATATACCTATTAAAGCGATTAATAAATTAAATGATTAATAGAAAGTATTTTAACGCTAGATTTATACGACATTAAAACTACCTATGCTAGAAAAACGGACGTAACCTTTTACTGGGTCAAAATATTTGGGTGAGAACGATTTACATGTATAATAAACATACACACAGGAAGGCCAAAGACAAAGCCATGTAACATTTACTTTTCAAACACTATAGTACTACAGTAGTTTTCGTTAAATCGTCAACGACCAGGATTCGAAAAAAAACACTTATTAAATTTGTGAAATAAACAAATCAAATACACGCTTTAAACTTATGTTCATTTAATTTAACGTTTTGAACTTGTTTTAAACAAGTTTTTTATCGTGGTTTGTCGTCATTAATAGTTTTGCTTAATCTTAATACTAACTTCTTAACAACTATAAAATAAAAAACATGAAATAAGTTACAAACTTTTTTATACTTTATTCTTTTTTCGACAAGTCATACTTTTGCGCCTTTTATTAGAATTGATCTTTTTTATCTGCAAGCACATGGAGCAAACTACAAAAAATTAATAAACAAAAACGTTTATTTAATATTAAATAAAATTAAATTATAAACACAGTCTTTACAAGAGTACGAATTACACAAACTAGTTACGCTACAATTCGTCATGCTCTTCAGCATTAACTTCCTCAGTATCATCTGATGGAACACCATCTTCAGGAACATCAATTTCTTCTTCTTCGTCCTCTTCTTCGTCTATTTCATCCGTTACTCCTAACGACTTCTTCATCATTTGTTCTATTGACTTTGCAAAATCAGCCGTTTCTCGTAACATGTACCCCGATCGCAAAGTCGCTGTTCTATATAGCATAAGGGCTATATCTTTGGCTGCAGGATCTTCAGGATTATCCTGGACCCTTCTTAATAATTCCTTAATCAATGGATGTCTAGGATTAACTTCTAATGTTTTCTTTTGATTTAAATAGTATGAATGTTGAGGATCGTCAGCTTTTTTGTGGGCGTGTGAAATTGTTAATCTTTCCATGTTCCCGCTCATCCCAAACATACTAGCCACTAAGACGGCAGGAGAGTCGCTTAATCTTTCAGAAATAGCTGCCTTGGAGATTTGATCTTTAAGTGCTTTGTCACCAAGCCATTTTATCAAGGGTTCGAAAGTTGTTTTAAGCTCTTCGAATTTCTGTTTCGTACTTTCAGACTCACTAATGCTGAATCCTTCTTTGGCTACATTCTGAAATTTCTTTCCATCGAATTCCGGCAAGGAGTTAATACAGTATTCGTCTACAGCTTCAATAAGATACAATACTTCATAACCCTTTTTTAGTAATCTTTCAACCAAAGGTGACTTTTCTACTTCCGCTCTACTAGCTCCGGCAATGTAATAAATTCTGTCCTGTTTTGGCTTCATTCGTTGTACGTAATCAGACAAGAAGGTCATGTCTTTTCCATTTGAAGAGTAAAACTTCAAAAGTTTGGTCAATCGAGTTCGGTTAGCAGGATCTTCATTGATACCTAACTTGATGTTGGTGGAATATTCTTTCCAAAACTTGTCGTAATCTTCATCAGGTATTTTTTTTAGCATATCCAAGACTTTTCGGATCAATTTCTTCTTAATTACTTTAATCAGTTTATGTTGCTGAAGTGTTTCTCTAGAAACGTTGAGTGGTAAGTCGTCAGAATCTACTACTCCTCGAATGAAACTCAAGTAATTGGGCATAAGTTCATTGAATTCGTCCGTGATAAAGACGCGTCGTACGTAAAGTTTAATGTTGTCTGTTTTCGTACCATAACGATTGAAACTGTCAGATGGTTGCACCTTGGGAACGAATAAAAGAGATTTAAAAGTCACTTCTCCTTCAGCCACGAAATGGACCTTTGCAAGTGGGTCTTGATTATCTTTTGTTAATGCTTTGTAGAATTCATTATACTCTTCGTCTGTTACTTCGTTTGGTTTTCTCGTCCAAATTGGTTTGCTGGTGTTAATAAGTTCCCAATCCCACACAGTTTTTTCTACCTAAAATAATTTCTTTAATTATCATTTACTCAACCCTTTCGCAAATACAATTAAAAAAAAGCATAAATCACCGTTAGATTTTTATAAATACTGAAAATTAAAAATAAAAATGAATTATGATCTCTACATTTAACTAAAAATATACCTTTTTCGTTTTCGGTTTTTCTTCTTTGTCTTCTTCTACGGCAGCATCTTCTTCAATTGGATCTTCTTCTGATTTCTTAGTGTCTGCTTCATCTTCTTCTATGGGTTCTTCGACACTTTCTGTGTGACTAGTCCACAAATAAATGGGGAAGTTGATAAATTGTGAGTATTTTTTAATAAGGCTCTTAATGGTTTCATGTTCCAGGAAGTCTTTAGATTCTGGCTTTAGTTTAAGAGTTACGGTAGTTCCTAAAAATAAAAACAGCAAATTAATAAAAAAATATTAATAGAACAAGTGCAGTCTTTAAAAATTTTCAAAATCTTATTGCATTTATAAACAAACAGTATACCTCTAAGCAGGGTATTTCCCCTAGGATCTTCTGTAATACTAAACTTGTTAGCATCCGACTCCCATATATATTGTTTGTCATCATTGTGTTTAGTTGTAACAATGACATCATCAGCTACAAGGAAAGCTGAGTAGAAACCAACCCCAAATTGCCCAATCATATCATTTACATCCTGTGATGATTCAGCCTCTTGCATTTTGCTTAAAAATTCTGCAGTTCCTGATTTCGCAATTGTACCCAAATTATTGATCAAGTCCTGCTTAGTCATGCCAATACCCGTATCTGTTATATGTAGTAAGCCTTCTTCTTTATCTGCTTTTATTCTAATATTTAGTTCAGGAGTACTATCCAAAACACTTTTATCTGTCAGAGATAATAGACGTATTTTATCTAAAGCATCAGATGCATTAGAAATTAATTCTCTTAGGAAGATCTGAAACAAAGAATTTACAGTAAGAACCACATAGCAATTGTTACAAAAACTCTATACCTCCTTATTTCGATACAGGGAATTGATGATAAGTTTCATCATTCGGTTAACTTCAGTTTGGAATGTGAATTTCTCTGCTTTATCTCGCATTTCTTTAATCTGAGCCACATTGAGACCATCTAACTTGATGGCCTCTTCTTCACGTTTAACTACCTCATCATCTACAAATTAAAAAATTAATTTTTCCCTTTTTAATTGTCTAAAGTGCAATTCTTCTGTAAAAAATATCTCTATCAGAGTATGAAATTCTACCAATGAGCAATATTTATTGATCAAACCATTTCTATTGAATTAAGTAGTAATAATAAAAGTGTGGTAACAAACAATGGATAATTATGATTCAGATAATGAAGAAATTAGTACTGACAAGAATATTTCAAGGCAACCAGTATTTAAACTTTATTTTCCTCCAAAGTCTGACGTTGGTTTTACACAAGTTCACTCACGATTTAGAAGGAAGACAGGTTACATTAAACATCAATCATAATAATCAATCTTATCTATAGCCTTGAATTTTACTTATTTTTCTAGCTTGTAGTTGTAAAAGTTTAATTTTTATATTAAGATTAATTGTTAAATATAAAAATCTGTATCTACCACTTGTTACATAGTTTTTGTAACAGAAATCACATAAACAGCACACACCCTATATAATATTTTCATCTAAATTACTTTCAGATTTTGATGAAAATACTGTTTTAGTAAGTCCAAAATTCTACACTTATGATAAAAGTACAGAAATCGATTTAAATGAAATTGAGAAAGCTGAATCAGAACTTGTTAAAGAAAAACTTCAATCAAATAAAAAATATGACAGTCCAATTACTGAAAATTGCAAGTATGTGAATAATTAACTGCTTAAGTAAAACATTAAAATAATATTTCAGGTACGGCTGGTATTTAGAGAAATATAAGGACATAAAGGGAACTGAAGTTAATATATACACAGATTTTAGAAAACATGTTGATTACATGTTAACTGAGAGGCTTATGAGTTTTGTAAAAATTAGACCATAAATGAATAAATTTAAAGTATATTTACCAGTTCTAGAACCTTCCCTGCTTGATCCCAAATCTTGTTCAACTGTATCGGCGACCGAACCGGGATCATCTTGTGCTTTGCAATTACCTAAATGAAACTTTATTCAAAAACTAATATTGATTATATTAAAAAAAACACATACCTGCAAATAAGAACAATCCTAGAATAAAAATTACCAGATATTTCATTTCTGGTTTTAATTAAATTTACACCGGCATAAATTATAAATTGCACTCCGCTCGAACTAGCGAAACTTTAAATAAAATCTGCCAGAAGTATGTAGGGTTATAATAATATAAAAAAAAGATGAGACTACCAATCAAATGATACCACGCGGTAGTTTGCTACACGTGTCCAATAATAATTCAAAACGTGAAAACGCAAAGATTTGGCCTATTTTGATTGGACGAATTCAAATATTTAATACGGGCATACATAAATAATTTTAGAACTTAAAAAGTAATTGCGATAGTAAATATAAAAACTACAAACTATAATAAACATTTAAATAGGAAAATAAAATAGCTGCCATTAAAATTTTTCTGAAAACTTTTTGTAACAGTTGCTGTTTTTTTATACCATATGAAATTTATCGTTAATTATTTGTTGATTACCAACATTCCTTTGGATTTTGTACATAAATAAGTGCGTATTATCTGCAATAAAATTACTTGATGTGTTAGATAAAAAAATGAAAATATTCGTCAAATAAAAAGGGTGTGTGCGATAGTGAGATTTTTAATTTACAATTTTCAATTCAGAGATTCTTTTTTATGTATGGGATAAACTCTATATAGCTAAACTTAATAAGGGACTAAATATTATGTTTTTGAGTTTTTGTTAAATAGGCAGTAAAAAAAACAACACGTATTATAAGATAAAACTGTACGGCAGCTTTTATTAATTTTGCAACTGAGAAATCAATAATGTATGTTTATTACCTTATAAATAATGACAAATTGTTTCCCTATTCAGAATGGATAAATCAACCAAAAGTCAAGTAATTTTAGGGAGTATTTTGTTATATGAAGTTTATTCTACTTTTAATTTTTATGTTAATGAATTTACAATGAAATTTTTGTGCAGAATAGGATAAAAATACGTTTATTTTGTAAATGAAGTTTATTACAAATGAAAAGGTATAAGAAAAAAACAATTTTACAACATATATTTATCTTTATTTTGTGATAAAATTTTGGCAGACGACTTTGCATCAAGGAAAAGTATGCTAACTTCTTCCACATCAACTCGTGTTATGTTATTTCGTCCATTTGTTTTGGCCGTTAAAGCAGCAGGCGTTAGAAGTTGTACAGCATACCGCAGAGTTGATCTTGCTCCTACTTCTCCCAAAGCTGTCAATGCGTCTTGATCTATTTCTAAACCTTCAGTATTTGCTCGTAACTTTACAATTTGTTCTAATTCTGGTTTTGAATATGGTAGAGTACGAATAATTACCAAACGATCTAATAAATCTAAAGGAATGCCATGTGGTGAAATTATATCATCAGTTCCTCTTATAACACAGCGTCCTCTATTTGTTGCAAAAATAACGATAGGTGCAATAGCACTCTCAAGAGCTCGATGAAGATAAGTAAATGTTTCTATATCCAACATATGAACTTCGTCTATAAAGAGAACACCAGGAACCAATTCTGCTATACCTTGATCTATATATTTATCAACAACTTTGTTTATCTCTCGTCTAAGTTTGTCAGTTATTTCTGTTTTCTTTGGCTTTAAAAGTTGGCCCATCATTGAGAGAACATCTTGGCCTCCTTGAGGTCTAGCATTTGCTGCATCTAAATCATGCAATGTGACATCCTTAAAAAACATACATGCCCTATTACATAGACATACAAGATTTGGTTATTAATTTTTCTGTTAATATACCTGAACAACTTCTTTCTTTTTATGAACATCTCCCTTTGGTAATGGTACATATTCTTCAGCTTCCAAATCAAATTCTGTAGCAAAAGCATCAGATCTCCCTTGTCTTTTCACAGCTCCACTGTTAGCTTCTATGTAAATAACATCACCTACTTCTACCTTTTCTTTTTGGAGAGATTCATAAATACTGGGGTCCAATTTTAATTGCTTACTTCCTTTGGCTGTTCTTAAGCCAATTATAATATGACTTACAGTTTTTCCATATCCTACAATTTAACTTTTAAGACTTGAAAGAAACCGAATTTATAGGAATAAATAAGATGAATTAACTTCTCTTTTAATGAGTTAAATGACAAAATAAATTACCTCCTGTAAGGTTTTCTGTCTCAACTGGGGTAAGTTCAGTTACCTCTCCTTCATAAACCTCTTTAGTTTCTCGAATTCTTAAACCTATGGCACGTCGAAAATTTTCCATCAAAACTTCCGTTTTTTTAATCTCAGAACTGTACACTTCTGACCCAACCATGGGACAAAACGGTACCTTATTGCCTAATTCCTGAGCAATCGCTAATGCAATAGCAGTTTTGCCGGTACCTGGAGGACCTGCCAGTAATATAGCCCTTCCTGCCATTTTTTTACTTCTAATCATATCAACTACAATACCAGCAGCCTACATTTAAGAAAGACGAAAGTAAATATTTAAAATGGACAATAAAAATTTCAAATCTGAAAGTATTCTAACCTCTCTTGCGGCTTCTTGCCCTACCAAACCTGCCGCCATTTGAATAGCGTAACCATTCTCATCTAAACCTAAACCTTTTATATGACTATGAGCACTAATTCTTTGAGTTTTTACAGTACTTTTTACTTCTTCGATTTTCATATTTACTTCACACCCTTTAAATCACTTTTGTTAACTCCAATCTACTTCGATCAAACTTGGTTACCGTGGATAAATATTCAAACAACTGCAAACCATAGACTGCAAACAACCATAGATAAGCAAACAACCTATGCATAACCTACAACAAATAATATCTACAGACCATAGATAACTATAATATCTAGAAAATAGATAATCACATAATAATTAATTCACAAATACTTGTTTTCGCTTTATCATTGTTACACATTATTTTGTCTTTTGCGTTATGTTCTGCAGACTGTTTAAAAAAATAGCAATCGTATCATTAGAAATTCAATAGAGATTAAGAGAAAAAAGTGAAGTTGGCAGCTCACCTGACAACCCCAAAATGACATGATACGTATATGCACATAATATACATAGAAAAAATTTAAATACACAAAAACATTATCACTTGTCTATGATCGTTATTTATTATTCGCCAATAATAATTATATTTGCTATTCATTTGTGTTAATATTAAAATATTATCTAGTTATGTTTTAAAGTTTAATCATTACCAACAGCAGTATTACTACAATAGTCTGTGTTATCAAAGCTTTTATAATAAACGTATAACGTGTAACCTAGATTGAGTCATAAACAAGTTTTTTCATTACATATTATAGTGATTTGTTATTACAATGGATAACATTAACAGAAAGCCACCTCCTTATACAGAGCAGCCTCCTGCAGGTTAATCTTGAATGTACTCAGACTATGAACATACTTTTCAATAAGTTTTAGGAGTTCATCAACAATTTAGTTATTTACCACCCCCTTATCAACCAACGGCACCACTATATCATCCGTCTGTTCCTAACTATGGTACCAATGCTACTTCGACAATTGTCACTGTAGTGCCCTCTGAAGTTGTGGTTATTGGAGGATGCCCTGCTTGTAGAATAGGCAGATTAGAAGATGACTACACTTGTTTAGGTATATGTTGTGCAATATTTTTCTTCCCCCTTGGAATACTTTGTTGTCTTCTTTTAAAAAGCAAGAGATGCTCAAATTGTGGTGCATGCTTTGACTAAATATTCATTTCCAAATTTTATGACCTATATTTATGGTAAAAGATTTCAGATAACAATTATTTTAATCTATTGTATATTATTAGACAATAAGTATTAACACAAAATGTATTANTGAAATAAACACTAAAACAACTTCAACTTCAACTAAATATTAGTAATGATAAGAAAGTATAGCGGACGATAAAGTATTAGTATTTACTACACTACAAAGCTACACACAAAACGAAAGAAAAAAAAAAAAGGTAAAACAATGAAATAAACACTAAAACAACTTCAACTTCAACATATTAGCAATGATAAGAAAGTAAAGCGGGCGATAAACTATTAGTATTTACTACACTACAAAACCACAAACAAAACGAAAGAAAAAAAAAGTAAAAAAATGAAATAAACACTAAAACAACTTCAACTTCAACTAAATATTAGCAATGATAAGAAAGTATAGCGGACGATAAACGTAACAAAAACTATTAGTATTTACTACACTACAAAAGTAAACACAAAATCAAAGACAAAAAAAACGTAAAAAACTTAAATAAACACTAAAACAACAACAATTTCAACTTCAAGTAAATATCAGCAATGATAAGAAAGTATAGCGGACGATAAACGTACAACAATCTGCCTTTACAATGGAATTACTCCCTTTATATCGCAGTTATCGTATTTCCTTAAAATGGAAACCAATGAGAAAATACTGTAGGGGCGTACACGACATAATGTGGGGTTAGAGAACCAATGAGGGCCTTCAAGAAGGGGAGGAATACATACCTATTTACATAAGCAATGTCTTCAGCAATCCGTACCATGTTACATTAATTGGTTAAGTGTGTTCATTAAAACGCAATTATTTTACTTAAGGACATGTGCATTAGACAAGTCACGTAGTACAATCACGCAGAAATAACCACCCTAAAAGAACGTGCATTAAATAATTTCCGTATGTTGCATATACAATTGTCAGGAGTTATAATTGTCTCCTTCAAATGCGAAGAATGTCTTACAAAGTAAAAATATTCATCAGGATGCATATTTACATATTTATACAACCGTTTGTGTATTAAAAGAAATGGACAAAGGAAATATTTTCAGCAATTCACTTGCACATACAGATGCTGTTTTTTTTTTACAAAACTTTGCAGCACTGTATATTAGTTACACCACATACCTACCCATGTTCTTGAAAATTGTAGGTATTACAGAGAAATGTGTACCTGTCTACGTTTCACATCACTGCGTAGGTACCATTCTTGCATATATAAGCTACAAGGTTCACATAATAGTTTCACACCCCTTTACTGTTAATTGCATCAATGATGTTTTTTCAACTTAACTACAACATATTGCATTTGCAATTCCCTCAGTGAAATGTGTTATTATTACTACTTCGTTGGGGATAATAAAATTGCATTCGTATTTCTTTTCAGTGTACATATATTCTTCATTAATTTGCAGGGTTTACATGAATAGTAGTTGTGTAATACGAAGTTTCTCCATTGTCAATTTAGTCTACTTTGAAAGGTGCATACAATCCTGTGATTGTAACGAATTCAGTTTTATAGAACATTTATATATTTCACATTTTCAAAGCCCATTACTATATGCATGGTGGCAACCGAAAGGCAGTGAAAATACGTAACAATTGAAAGATACACACTGTTTTTGATAACTGTTCTTTACATTACTTCACGTATTATGTCCTTGTGATTGCACATGATAATAAAATTATAAAATGAACAATTACATAGTACGGACGTGCTTTTTTAATGCCATACTTAAGGCAACTTAGAAGTGCCATCATGTACAAACAATATTTAAACGTAATGCAGAAATTGTTATATTTCAGCGGGAAAAAGGCTACAACTACAATGTTCATTACAGAATTTGAAGTTTGCATTGTTGAGGGGTTATAGGAATGGTAAATGACAGACCTGTTGTAATTTCACCTTATAAGGTTATGATGTACAGGTTTGTCAAAGCTATTTTCTATTTTTACTTTCACTACCTCTTATCCCAAACGTTTTGCCATTCTTTCACAATTTTGTTTTGTACTCATCAGTAATGATACTCTGTCGATCCGTTCATTTCCGATAAATATTTCCATTCAATACCACAACAATGATAAGATACCATTTCACACATTAGTATTTTTAAGAAACAACGAAATGTTTGTATTGTGGCGATTTAATACGTTTTACAAAAACAATTTACTATTTTTTAAAGTGAAATATTAAGTGTGTTTGTATATTTCTTGACATGTGTTCTGATCATAATTGTTGAGAATCATGTTTATGATATATTTCAATGTATTACTGCAGTTTACTAGAAATATTTTAGTTTGATGTTACATTTCTTAGAGACATTTGCTGTGCCCATTTTTAAACATTTATTACACTCCAGGTACTTTTGCCGGACCCTTCCGGTCAAAATATCTGTCCTGTTTAGGAACAATGTTCATGGTTCTTTACTGGAGACATTTTGGTCATCCTCCCTCTCTTCAAGGGGTGCAAAATGTTTTTAAGTGAGTCGTTAAGTTGTAGAAGGCTAACATCTTGTAGTAACTCACAGCATGACGTCTATAATCCTTAGTTTTCCTAATTGCACTTTTATTATGGCTTTGGTCGGTGATTTCGGTTTAAATTTCAATTGTCAGTATATTTTCACTATTTCTTTTACGCGGCATTTCCAGATGTCAGTAATAAGTTATTGATTCCCTACTGTGAAGAAGTTATTGGTAAATCCTACTTTTCGCCCTTTTTACAATCTGTTTTCTGTTCCGATGCAGTATTCATTTCATGTATCTGAAAATACTGTTATGCTGCAATATCATATTTTATTTGTAGCCTTCATTTCTTTTGTTTGCTCATGAAATAGTTTATCGTTTTCGCGTTACTTTTATTTCTTCGTCCTATCACCACAACAAATCGACTGTGAAGTATGTTACTAGAAATGCAATAATCCTGATTAAAGGTCAAGAAAAAAAAGTTTTTATTACATTTATTAACATCGTTTCAAAAATTGGACGGATGTATTCGTATGTGAAACCTTTCCTTCTCTTAACTATGAACACATTTTTGAAAGTTGTTTGAAATCATTTTTAAACAATTCATTTCTATGATGGTGTGGTGACGTAATTATTTACAGAATTGTTCAGTAAGCACACTTAAGAGTTACGGAAATAATAGATACGTTCTCTAACAGAATACTTTTCGGAAATTGGCACATGATGACTGATAGGTATAAACAATGCCGTAGGTATTAATTCCGACATGTAAAGTTAACAACATGGAATTGAAAATGAAGTTGAACATATATATACCAAGCATCCCCGACGTTTCCCAAAAAAGGCATGTAACTTGTGATTGCAAGTTTCATGGGAATCTTTACATATGTACAACACATACAGTTTCATGAAATGAAAAAAGCAATATGTCAGATAACTGTAATCATAAATAATTACAACAGAACAGATATTTGCAAACATTAATATTTCAAGTTTGTGAGATTACCTTCCAGTAATATCAATACTTTGCAGTACAAGTAAGGCAGTGACAGTTTAAAAAGAAGAAATGCGTAATAGACATGTGCCATAATTAGGTACGTTTTGCAGAAAGATACAGAAACATATACTGTTGCCCTTCTAAACAGCTTCATTTTCCTGGAACATTGCGAAGGAAAAACGGAAATTCCGTTAAAAATAACAACACAAGACAAGCAACACGATTGAAGTTACTTTTTTAGTAACATCATGTTTTTGCCGAGATTTCCCATTCGGTGTGCAATACTTACAACTGCTTACTAATTGAATTTTATAAAGAATTACATGTTATTATTATCATTATTTTAATTTTTAATTTTACACAATTTTCTAGCTAAAATCCATGTCTATTGTATTACCGTACTTCGTTAGATATATATTTCAGAAAGAAGTGTACAGACACGGAATTAACATTATTGATTCCAATAAGGTATGTTATTTATTAAGTGAAGGATTTTGGAAATATCTTCATTTGCATATTTCTGTACAACTGTATGTACTTTGTCAATTTACCCAATTAGTATTTTGCATGGGGAACATTATTAGCTGTTTTTTGTCAAGTGAATTTCATAAAAGTTAATTTTGCAACCACATTTCATTTATTTCCATTGTATAATTGAGTAGGACAAAAGTTAATCAATGTGAAGCAATTATTTATTTACGTATAATTGTATTTGTTTCAAATGCAGCTGGAAATTCGCACAACTTTTGCAAGCAAGGTCACTTGCAAGCGAAACCAAATTTACATGTACGTACTTCTTAAATAAATAAACTGCTTCCGATAACGCTGACTATTCTACAGTCTATGTCTATACTGTATATGTGTATGTTATACTTGATTATACTATTCATACCCACCACAGTCAAAATATTGGTTAAGTCATTAGTCATTATCGAAATAATTTTCCTTATTGAATTTACCATTACACATACGACACATATTCTTATTATAATACAAAAAACATAATACGTGTATGTTGGACATCTCATAATAAAAACAAAACAATTTCAATTTTTTTTCAATGAACAACGTTTTTGATAAAAACATAATTGCAACAAATACAGCAAAAGTCTAAACTGTATTTTACAGTATTTCGACAAGAAAATTACAATTTTTTCCGTTGAATCGTACAATTTATGTACTACTTCTTTTCTTCTCATGTAGTTCGATGTTAAAACAATTTTAATTTCTTCCTGTTCAGAGTATAGACCCTTCTTCTTGATGCAGGCCACAAACTTCCTGTATGCACTTTTTAGAATATTTTTGCAAATTTACAAGGCGGCTAGATGCATCAGTGAAATAATTGAATTACTTTATACAGGTAACGATTGAGGAACGATCGGTTACGATCCCCAATATAGTTTCATTTTTATTATGGGGTATTTATTTTATGGGTTTAACGTTTAGAAAGTGCCGCTTGTTGATTTTTTCGATGTAGCCGATTTCTCACAAATTAAAAACAACCCTGTCTTGCAATATTTTCAGTTTGAAAACCCCGCCTTGTAGGTATCCACGAAGATGTTTGCAAGGGTTAATCAGCAATGGTGACATGCGCCACACCCTTACCATTTTTTCCTAGTTTTAAGCTTTAGATATTACAAGTGACCAACGACTTCCATCGAAGCACGAAGCACTTGTCCAGTTAGTCAAACTAATCATTCCTTTGGACATACTCTTTGTCAGTATTTGTAAATATCTAATAACTGTACTGCGCTGCAATAGTTCTGTTATTCTATCTTCCACCCCAAATTTAACCAACACGCATTATCAATTTAAAACGTGTGCAGATATTCCCCTTGCAATAGGAAGTTGTACAATATTTGCCTGTGAACATTTAACACTTCTTTTTCATAATATTGAAGTTTTATGGAAAATATTGAATGCAAGTTTTGGTGGCGTTTCGGTAACTTCCTTTTCGCCAACTATTGCGGTGTACATATTTAAAAGAAACACGTATATCAATAACAATTGCTACATTGGACCATTAACCTAAGAAGTATGAATTCAATTCTACTTTGCAGTTTAAGACGTTAACAATGTTCAACTAGCCTTCCTTCTGACTTTGCCCATTTTATATTTATCATGCAGAAAATGTACAGACTACCAACACATTTTTCTCAGTATCGTCTATTGGGTTGTAGCGATTTTGCTTTATTTTTTTTTTGAAATGACCGTGGCATAAAAAACGACAGTGCCCCCTTATTTACTTTTACATAACTTCATTTTCTTCATAAACACACTTTTAATAAGAGAATAATACGTACCTATACATATGTTATATGATGTGATTTATTTGTTNCCGCCTTGTAGGTATCCACGAAGATGTTTGCAAGGGTTAATCAGCAATGGTGACATGCGCCACACCCTTACCATTTTTTCCTAGTTTTAAGCTTTAGGTATTACAAGTGACCAACGACTTCCATCGAAGCACGAAGCACTTGTCCAGTTAGTCAAACTAATCATTCCTTTGGATACACTCTTTGTCAATATTTGTAAATACATATCTAATAACTGTACTGCGCTGCAATAGTTCTGTTATTCTACCTTCCACCCCAAATTTAAGCAACACGCCTTATCAATTTAAAACGTGTGCAGATATTCCTCTTGCAATAGGAACTTGTACAATATTTGCCTGTGAACATTTAACACTTCTTTTTCATAATATTGAAGTTTTATGGAAAATATTGAATGCAAGTTTTGGTGGCGTTTCGGTAACTTCCTTTTCGCCAACTATTGCGGTGTACATATTTAAAAGAAACACGTATATCAATAACAATTGCTACATTGGACCATTAACCTAAGAAGTATGAATTCAATTCTACTTTGCAGTTTAAGACGTTAACAATGTTCAATTAGCCTTCCTTCTGACTTTGCCCATTTTATATTTATCATGCAGAAAATGTACAGACTACGAACACATTTTTCTCAGTATCGTCTATTGGGTTGTAGCGATTTTGCTTTATTTTTTTTTTGAAATGACCGTGGCATAAAAAACTAACGTGGCCCCTTATTTACTTTTACATAACTTCATTTTCTTCATAAACACTTTTAATAAGAGAATAATACGTACCTATACATATGTTATATGATGTGATTTATTTGTTTTCTGGTAATTATCAGATACCTTTATCTGTTATCGTTTTTAGTAATGTTTGCCTACATAGCTACATGTGGATGTATATGTGCTAGTTTTAAAAAGTTACCTAGGTATCTCATCGAAAATTTGAAAGGTGCCAATCAAATAAAATTGGCGAATCTTCAATAAAACAAATATACATTTCAAGGTTACCGAAGCAGGCCTTCATGACTTGTTAAATCCGTGTATGTTTTCATATATTTACACACATGCATAAAATTTTTTTACTGTATTTGGTCCTCACCTAACACTACTTACCACTTCCACCCACCTTTCTTTTTGTAAATAACAATTGACAACACGTTTCTCTATTTTTTCACATATTCTACTACTATTTATGCATGCACCACTTCTTCATAAAATTTCATTTTTTTGTACTTCTTTACTTACCTTTCTTCAACATTTTCATTGCTGCTTTCTTCTTATGAATGACAAATAATAACATTCAACTTAATATTTTCATATTTTTCAAATACTCTCATTGTTAAGTACAGACAATTCCTATTTTTCTCTTTATGCGCTTCGCGGTGGCGGACGCGAATTTTGAACGTTTACATGTGGTATTTCCCGATTTCTCCTTCAATGAAAGGCATTACAAATCATTATTATTATCGTTACCAATTTTTGTTAAAACTGTTTTTGAACGTAGACAACCCTAATCACTTCAATGCAATTAAAAATTATGATAATATTTTTTATGACCGTATGCTGTTTTTCTTATGCAACCCATTTTACAAAATCTTTAACCGCTGCAACACCGCCATCTGCCAGGTGTAGTCACTACTATTTTGACAGGAGGAGTTAACACCGCATGATAGCAACTGTTTGATCAGCTGATTTGTTGTCTGTAAGTTATTAACAATTTAAGTTTCTTTTGTGAAGGACTATAGCAGTGATAAGAAAAATAAGTAAGAATTAGCGCATTTTAATAAATTTAATTAGCTTCAAAGTTTATTCAAGATGTTCATATGGAATACATAGTTTCACATGATGTGGAAATGTGATGTGTTTCCTAGAATTATTGATAATACTCTAAAAATGAACAATGTTCACTGATAAAATCTAAAAATGAGTAACTCACGTAATGCAGCACCTTCGAGTGCTTGCTATCTGGATAAAGAAATGATTGAAAGTGATTCTTTAGCAGTAAATGAAGGATTCAAACCCAAGAAACTTTCTTCTGGATCATTAAGTGCTACTGAAAGTGTAAGACCAAAAATGGTTACAGTTAAACATCCTGAATCAAACAAACCAAAGCCTACAATTAAGAAGAATAAGCCAATTCAAGCTGATCTTGATGTAACTAAAGAATTTGTGAGATGTAAAGAAGAAAGTTTAACTCGCTTGGATTTAAGTAAATCTAACATTACCAATTTACCAGCGACTTTGAGGGACTTGAATCATTTACTGGAGTTGTATTTATATGGAAACAAGCTGGTGTCTTTGCCCCCAGAAGTCGGCTGCCTGGTGAGTTTGCAAACACTTGCTTTAAGTGAAAATTCATTAACAGCACTACCAAACTCTTTGGCCAATTTAAAACATTTGAAAGTCTTAGACTTACGACATAATAAGCTTAATGAAATACCTGAGGTGGTATATAAGTTGACATCACTAACAACATTGTTTCTGAGGTTTAATCGAATTAAATATGTCGATGAGGATATTAAAAACCTAACATCTTTAACCATGTTAAGTCTGAGAGAAAATAAAATAAAGTCTTTACCAGCTGGCATAGGCAATTTAGTTAATTTAGTTACATTTGATGTATCTCATAACCATTTGGAGCATCTTCCACAAGAGATCGGATGTTGTATCAATTTGTCAACTCTGGATTTGCAACATAATGAATTACTAGATATACCAGATACTATTGGGAACTTNATTGTTTGATTTGTTGGAGTCTATTTTTAGTACATACACGTGGTACTTTATACATATATTAGTATATTGTGAAATGTTGCGATTCATTAAAAATTATTATAATCCTAAAATTATTGTAATTATTTAAGTAAATGTGTTAGCATTTACATACACATTACAGTTAACCCTTTTACAGCTGTCATATATTAGAAAAATAAAATAAAATTATAAAAATATGTGTAAGTACTAATATATCGAAGTATATCTTTAAAATCTATGACCTGTTTACACTGTTTGACGTTTGGGATTTTGCCAAGCTGTTACAAAATAAAAATAATAACTAATTGTTTGGTTTTATAACAAAAATACTGTTTTGCCTTTCCTTTTGTTTAAATTAAAATTTAATGATGTGACTACAATAACAAAAAACGTAGTATGTAAGTAACTAATAATGTTTGTTTTAAATATTTTGTAATGTTTATATTTTTTAATTTTAAATCGTGATGGTAATCGAGGTTACTAATTTTTTATTGAACAACCAAAATATTTTAATTATAGGTAACTGTTCTATAAAAAGTAAAAGTTCGTCACTCAAACGTCCTACTACAGCAAAACTTTTACTGTTTACTTTCACTTACTTGTGATTTGTTCAACTTTTAGGTATTGTACATCTTTCCAGATTGCAGGAGATTCTGCTTTTGTTTTTTCTTAAATGAAAGTAAAATGCAACATATATATGGTTTAAGACATTATACAAATAAGATTGACTTTAAGAAGAAAACAATCCTGTAATTCAAGTTGCAATATAAATCTATAAATTGAAGAAAATGAGCAGTAATCCAAGTGCAAAAATTTCTCTGAGTGATTTTTCGGAAAGCAATACACCTGAGCACATGGCATTTAGCAAAATTTTAGGGAAGTCTATCCTGGTTAGCCCTAATGAGGAACAATATGAATTGTTATTAACCAGATTGAAGCAACAGTTAGAGAGCGGAAGAGGCGAAGTAATTCTAGAGGTATTTATAAAGTTAATATGACATAGTTACATTTCAATTCATTAGCCATTTATTTTAATTAGATTGGTGGTTGTGAAGATGGTTCCGATATTTGTTTGAATGAAGAGGAAAAGAATGCAGCTGTTGCTACATTGCAATCTTTGGCAACCAGTTTACATTGTAGTTGTGTGTTATTGAGAGAACGTAAAGATATTTCTGGTATTGTTGCTCAGTACCTAATAAGGAAACTGTTAGATCCTAGCGGTAAGTAAATTATTAATTTTCCTACATACGAAATGATGCAATAATTGATGTATTTGTAATATGCTTTTAGTTTGCAACCTGATATATATATAGATATGTAATATAATTGAATGAATAAAAATTCAACTTATTTATCTAAAACTTATATTATCATTATTAACTTTATCTGTTAAATTGATGTAGGTAAATTAATGCTCATAGTAGTTTTTGGTACCTATGTACTTCAGAAAGTATGATATTTATTGCCTAAACACAATAATTAATTAAGGCATCTATTTAGTATAGATACCACTATAAAAAAGTTTCTTTTTGTTTTAATCCATTTTGATGTTGCAATAATCATTTCACCCCACAATGACTAATAAATAATAAAAATAATAATTGTGCAACAAAATAGAGATTGTTTCATATAATAATTTATTGGAGAAACTAAAAAGTATGAAAACTTCATAAATTAAAAATGGTTACTTAAAATTTTTAACGTATTTGGTAGTTTAATGTGCTGATGCAATAACTGAAATTATGGTATTAGGTATACAATGTTATTGAGATGATTGCTGTTGTTTTTATTAGTAATAACAACTTTTTATTTATCATTTTTCCTTTACAAAGATGAAAGTTGTAATGAAAAGTTAGTTTTAATTTGTTATTGTTTGAAATTTAATTTCTTAAAAATCTAATTTGATTTTAGATTTTCTCGAAATTCGCGTAGCCGTCGTAGGTAATGTTGATGCTGGTAAGTCTACTTTATTAGGAGTTTTAACTCATGGTGAATTGGATAATGGCAGAGGTCATGCTCGACAAAAACTATTTCGCCATAAACACGAAATGGAATCAGGCAGAACAAGTTCAGTTGGAAATGATATCCTTGGCTTTGATAGTGAAGGTATCGAATTACTTTATTGTACCTATTTACTAACTTGGAAATATTCTTAATTACTTTCGGTAGTATTTTGAAAAATTGCATCATTGTTTCTGATTTTAAGGTCACGTAGTGAACAAACCAGAGCACGGATCTTTAGATTGGGTTAAGATATGCGAAAAAAGTTCAAAAGTAATAACATTCATCGACTTGGCGGGTCACGAACGTTACCTAAAGACTACAGTTTTTGGAATGACTGGACATGCTCCAGATTTTGGAATGCTTATGGTAAGACTCAAAATTTTCTTTAAGCAAAAAATAGGACATTTGATGTATTTTCTCGCGTATGCGTCTATTACAGGGGACTTCCCTCCACTTAGCGATAATTATCGCCCGATGCAATTGTTTTTTTTTTTCGCACATCTGTTCTCGTCGTCGAAGTGGCAACTTTATTTATTTATTTATTATATTTCGTCAAAAAACTACATAAAGTTTATTATATAGTAATCCTGCAAAGGGTAATTAGTATTATCTGTGTGCAGGCTGGGTTTACTTAAATCTAAATTACATCTAATAAAATTAACATCTAGTTCTACCAAATAATAATACTGGTCTATAACGTTCATCTTATTTATACAATATTAGATCTGACCTATTTAATTTATTTTTACTTAATTTCTGTTGTAGATTATTATATATTTTCATTGCCCTAGAATTATTTTTTCTTCACCAATTTTCTAAGATACCTGTGGAAGTCGCATTATTAAAAAATAGAATAAAAAACTTCGTTTTTTGGCACAAATTATTCTATCTTGTTTGCAATTTTGTTAAACATTGGTATCTTATTTAATGTTGAAGTAAATTGTATGGTTCACTAATTATAATTTGTATTTTAGATTGGAGCAAATGCTGGTATTGTTGGAATGACGAAAGAGCACTTAGGATTGGCTCTCGCTCTTTCTGTGCCAGTTTTTGTGGTGGTTACAAAGATTGACATGTGTCCTCCAAATGTACTAAGAGACAATTTGAAACTATTGATGAGAATCTTAAAATCTCCAGGTTGCCGTAAGGTGCCCGTTATGGTTAAAACCACCGACGATGTTGTTTTGAGTGCTACCAATTTTGTTTCAGAAAGGTAATTTAATACTAAAAATAACATGCAAGGTGTACATGTTGTTATAAATGGTGAATAGTTATTATACCAAACCAGTTCTTCCCCCCTATCAGTCACTTGAGTCCGAAACTGTTAGCATCATTGCTTCGAGTGGTCGAAATTCACTTTTGTGAGCAATTTGTTTAATCACTTTCTTGGTGTTAAAAATTGTTTGAAAAATTAAATTTAAAGGAATTGTTTGTAAAAGATAGGCAGCCCATCGTACACTTCACTATAAAAAAATTACTGATGCTAACTACGTTGACAGCACTCATAATTTCTTTTATATATAATATTAGTTGAATCTAGAATCAGAACAGCATTGGTTCACCAACTGGCCACGAAAGTCTTTATCAATTTGTCTAATAAACTTAAGTTACTTTTATTACCAAACAATAAATTCAGTTAGTATAAATATTATATTAATAACTAAAGTTTTAATGTGGAAGTAATAATAAGAAACAAAAAAGAAATAATGGAAACATTCTATTTCAAGAAACAAAACTACATAAAAACTCTTGTGTAGTACACCATGAGGTTATTGTACAATTGTTAACATGTGTCTTAGTAGGTTAATAGTTTTAAAACTCAACATGAATACGTTCTATTTACAGACTTTGTCCAATATTTCAAGTTTCAAACGTTACTGGTGAAAATCTGGACATGCTAAAAACTTTCCTTAATTTACTCACGACAAGAATGGAATATCACGAAAACGAACCTGCTGAATTTCAGATAGATGACACTTACTCAGTTCCTGTAAGTAATAGTTAATTAACTGTTTTTGATTTAATCTAAAAATTGCATTCGCAATTTGTAACTTTTTAAGTATAATAAGAATTGTTGTTTAATATGGCAAATTATACATTAATAACATAATTGTATATATTTTTTACCACTGTCTGTTTCGATAGGGTGTAGGAACCGTGGTATCAGGAACTGTTTTAAAGGGTATCATTCGTCTGAATGATACGTTGATGCTTGGTCCCGATCCTTTGGGACATTTTCAACCAATTGCTGTAAAAAGCATTCACAGAAAACGAATGGTTGTTAGAGAAGTGCGAGCAGGTCAGACGGCAAGCTTTGCACTCAAAAAAGTATGTACAAATACTGCAAAACATTCCAATTTTTTAATCACTTCATTTGATTAAATAATTTAAGATTAAACGGTCACATATTCGGAAAGGGATGGTAATGGTTTGTCCTGCACTGAACCCGCAAGCTTGTTGGGAGTTTGAAGGAGAAATTTTAGTACTTCATCATCCCACCACTATAAGTTCGCGTTATCAGGCTATGGGTGAGTGCCTTGCATTCTTTTAGAAACTACATTGATTAATGTTTCAGGTCAAAAACGTACAAACTCTTTTAAGACAAAATTTTAGAATCTGTGTACTTGTATATCAGTCAGTCGTTTTTTTTTTATTACTAGAAAATTATTCCTCTTGTTATTTACAGATACTTAACCTCGTGGCTAACATATGTTTTATTTTATTTTAGTTCATTGTGGTAGCATTAGGCAGACAGCGAGTATCCTGTCGATGTCACAAGATTGTTTGAGAACCGGAGATAAAGCGCTGGTGCATTTTCGCTTTATCAAACATCCTGAATACATAACTCCCGGTCAACGAATGGTATTTCGTGAGGGACGGACGAAAGCTGTTGGTAATGTCGTTAAAATTCTTACGCAAGCATCATCATCTTCGCTGATAACGACTAAAACGAAAGCTCTAAAGCAGCAAAGACATGAGGACTATAATAATTCGCACAGCAATAACCAAAATAGCAAGGTGAGTCAATTGTTACAATAGGGCTGTAGCTAAGAGGATGAATTTTCCAATTTCTCTCTATTTTCTTTCTCCGTTAATGTTGACTAGTGCTTCCTCCTGCCCTCTGCAATTTTTGTTGCTCCACTATGACGTAGTGTCGGCCATCATTCTTTTTCAATTGTTGTCGCATTGTCACTGATGTCGGCCATTATGGTTTTTTAATAGATGTATAGTAATCAATGATTAAAATTTAAAGGAATTGTTTGTAAATAGGTATGCAACACATCGTACACTTCAACATAAGAAATTGCCGATACTATAGTAACTTAATAATACTACTTTGCTCTTTGCTGACAACACTCATAATTTCTTTAGTTTACATTTTATATTGTTTATAACAAATTAACAACTACTGGTTGAAAGCTGGAAACATGACAAAAGAATACTTGTCAGTGTACATAAGGTTACCCCGCAGTAGTAAAGATTTTTTATGATTAAAATAACTGTTGATTGGACTATGATACAATAGTGACTTCTTTAGAAGCTATGATGTATCATACACATAAGTACATTACATACTACATTCGTTAAGCAGATTGATTTTAATTCATGGTCATTACGGATCAAGAAACAAGAAATAAAAATGTTAAAATTCTAAAGTTGAACGCTGAGTGATCGAATGACGTTTAGATCGGATCGAGGATCAACGCTTGGTTGCCCGGCGACCCCATTCAATTCTGTATGTCTATGTAGTTCACTTTTGTCGCTATTGAAACCACAACCAATTACTCGCTCTTAGTAATGAACTTCGTCAGGTTTAAATAAAAAAATAACTTTTTTAAAATTAAGTAAGCAAATTCTAACATTATTTTTGAATATGATGCTGAATTTTGTAAAGAAGCAACATAATAAGAATCTATAGAAATGGATATTTTACTAAAGAAAATTCCTAAAAATATCTACTTTTATGACAGCAGGTTCAACAATAATTCCTTAAAATAGTCAACAACTATCATATTCATCTGCAGTATTTTGTTATTATAAATAATGATTTTCTTTATCGCAATTAGGTGTTTTATTATAGTAATTACAATTACTAATGTGAATAAGAAAAAGCGCCATGTAAACCCAGCCTTATGGCGAGGTTGCTTTTATCAAAAGAAAACTCTTGAAGTGAAATATACTCTCTCAATAACACTTTGTAGAAGTTTTTTCCGATTTACCTATTGTTACAAAATGCATTTTACTTTGCATACGTATGTATTTTATTATTGTTATTTACAATATTTCTTTTATTAGGCTACAAACGCGTGTGAATCTGAAGGAAAAACCTTGGAAACGATTGAATGTTTACAAATAAATCCGATGAGAAAGAATAATCGAAGGCGAGGAGGAGTACATAAAAAATCGACGGTAGCAGTGGGAAATGCATCTAAACCATTGTCAGATGTTGCTAATATAACAGCAATATCCGCAAATAATCGATCAGCTGCCAAAATATAGATGGTAAAATTGAAGAGCAATAATTTCCCGAAGGTTAAAAATATATGGTAACAAATGATACAGTCACAATAACGATTTCTTAACATGAATATAACTTTTTGACCGGTTAATAGTGCAAATAACCATAATAATCAATAAATAAATTTCTTAAAGCACATAAAATTTCGTATCTTGAATCATAGGACAGTTTTACGTCTATAATTATTGTAGCGTAATAAAACGGAGTAGATATTACAAACCAAAAATTACTTTTATATTTACGACTTCTATTTTTGTATGACATTTTATTTTTTTAGAAGCGTAAAAATTCGTGTTTGTTTTCATGTTCTAAAAGATGAATAACTTTCTACTTAATTAACAATATTTATTTTCTGATTGTTTTATAAACGTGATAGTAATAGTGTTTCAAGTGCAGTCAGTATTGTTTGTTCTATTGTTTTTTTTTTCGTTTTATAAAGTAGTGTGAAATTACTATTAACTCCCATCTGCCATGTATTATTAGAGTTAAGTACATTTCAGTAATGTATGTAAAGAGTACAATTTTAATTCGTTCAAAACCTAGTTGTTTTTGAAATATAAAGATCGGTGTACAAAATTAGAATCACATATATATATATAATTAAAAATTTTTCTGATAGAAATAACCACGATAGAGTATAGAGGTGATGTAACGAGCCAGGTCTGTAAAGCACTTTGCTAGAGAAAAATAGCGCAAAGGTGACTAAGATAACCCGAGTATATACGACCGCATAGCCGAAAGTACAGCCTATACAATCAATAATTTAAACAAGATCTTGCCTGATAGAATGTAAAAGTAAATTTTAAGGTAAGGGAGAGACAAAAGGAAATTGTAGCAAACACAATACAAATACACCTACTGGATTTAAACTTTCGGTTCATTTTGATCTCAAAATAGTTTTAAAAAGAAGTAAATGAACACTAAAAAATGATTTCAAGAATAAAAAAAATTTAAAACGTACAATGTAGTACTCACTCTCCTATTTTCTACTAATAATATATTTAAAAAAAAATATTTTTTTAAACAAAATCCCTTGCGGTTATTCTTAGTCTCCGTGCGAAATTCGCGTATTTTGTACTTACAGGCGACTTTTTAATACTTTACATTGGGAGACTTTCTCATTGTTACTTTAGTAGCCATTGTTACACATTATTGACACGCAACATATTGTTACATAATTATAAATCACGAAAATAAGACGATAAGTTGTAAGGAATGCTGTCAATTAAAATTGTGTAAAACGCGTGAATTTGCAGCTATCTTTTCGCTACCTTTCTCTGTGACTTCTCATTGTAAGGGGTTTTTACACAGTTTGCTTCTCGCAAATATAAAACGTCGGCTTCTTACCTCTATTCTCTATCATGAATATCAATGTTTTCTGTTTTTCAAATTATTTGTTTACAGGAACTTGAAGATCTCAAAGGTGTTCAATTCTAAATTCATACATTTTTATTAAAATTAGTTAAAGTTGTTCCTTATGTGGTTTGCTACCAAATACACTGTTTAAATTTTAAACATTCATAAATATTTTTTATTATACTTACATGCACACTTCTCCATAAAATAATCCTTCGGCTAATATTCTTTTGTTATGAACTATAATACTGATATTTAGTCATTTAAACATGTATAATTAGAATCATTATTTTTCATGGCAATAAAATAAAAATTAAAAAAAAAAACAAATACCGAAATTCACTTTTGTGAGCAATTTGTTTAATCACTTTCTTTGTNAGTATGTAAAACTGAAGTGTTGTAATACAATCACATATTAAGATAATTTTGCTTTTAAAAAAAGTCAGTCATATCTTTGAAGCTATTGAAATTTTTATAATTATGTAAATTCATCAAGTGCCTACTCAAAATTTTCTGCTTTTAAATTTCTCATGAGCATCCTTCAGTTCTTTTTGTAGATTGTGTTGAAAATTTCTTATAAGAGCTTTAAACTGCTCAGGAGTTAAAGTGCCATCCATACCCTTTTCTTGCATCATATGTTTACTTCTCATGTAAAATAAAACAGCTAACTGAGCTGCCCTTCGAACTGGATATGATTGACTCAGTCGATGGACCAATTGCTCATTATTTACAAGATATTTTAATAGCAATCTTAATACCATTTCTGTTTACTTCTGCATTTGGAAAGGATACATAAACCGGTACTTGTATAAAAGTTCTTGTTTCAAATGAAGTTGAGTTTTAAGGGCTTCTAAATGTTGAAGTTGCTGTTCTTTACTATAATCAATGCCTGGTAGTAAACTTATCTATATGTGAAAGTTACTGTAAAAAAGGGGTAAATATTTTTAACCTAATCAATTTTTATACCTGTGACCGAGCCTGATCGAATCGTTTTTGAAGTTCTAAAACTTTCTGAGAGCAATCTTGGGACTCTCGTGTTTTAGCGGTATTATCGTGATGGTCCCTCTCAACACTAAAATTATTGGTATGTACTGGATAACTAATTACACAATCGTTTGTGACACATTTTAATAGTTAAAATTAACTTACCTCTTAATAATTTCATAAAACACTGGTAAAATTTCTATATTTAAATCATCCACAGTCATCCGTTTTTGTAGATCTGAATTTGATTCGTTATTGGAATCCATATATTAGAAAAATAAAATAAAATTATAAAAATATGTGTAAGTACTAATATATCGAAGTATATCTTTAAAATCTATGACCTGTTTACACTGTTTGACGTTTGGGATTTTGCCAAGCTGTTACAAAATAAAAATAATAACTAATTGTTTGGTTTTATAACAAAAATACTGTTTTGCCTTTCCTTTTGTTTAAATTAAAATTTAATGATGTGACTACAATAACAAAAAACGTAGTATGTAAGTAACTAATAATGTTTGTTTTAAATATTTTGTAATGTTTATATTTTTTAATTTTAAATCGTGATGGTAATCGAGGTTACTAATTTTTTATTGAACAACCAAAATATTTTAATTATAGGTAACTGTTCTATAAAAAGTAAAAGTTCGTCACTCAAACGTCCTACTACAGCAAAACTTTTACTGTTTACTTTCACTTACTTGTGATTTGTTCAACTTTTAGGTATTGTACATCTTTCCAGATTGCAGGAGATTCTGCTTTTGTTTTTTCTTAAATGAAAGTAAAATGCAACATATATATGGTTTAAGACATTATACAAATAAGATTGACTTTAAGAAGAAAACAATCCTGTAATTCAAGTTGCAATATAAATCTATAAATTGAAGAAAATGAGCAGTAATCCAAGTGCAAAAATTTCTCTGAGTGATTTTTCGGAAAGCAATACACCTGAGCACATGGCATTTAGCAAAATTTTAGGGAAGTCTATCCTGGTTAGCCCTAATGAGGAACAATATGAATTGTTATTAACCAGATTGAAGCAACAGTTAGAGAGCGGAAGAGGCGAAGTAATTCTAGAGGTATTTATAAAGTTAATATGACATAGTTACATTTCAATTCATTAGCCATTTATTTTAATTAGATTGGTGGTTGTGAAGATGGTTCCGATATTTGTTTGAATGAAGAGGAAAAGAATGCAGCTGTTGCTACATTGCAATCTTTGGCAACCAGTTTACATTGTAGTTGTGTGTTATTGAGAGAACGTAAAGATATTTCTGGTATTGTTGCTCAGTACCTAATAAGGAAACTGTTAGATCCTAGCGGTAAGTAAATTATTAATTTTCCTACATACGAAATGATGCAATAATTGATGTATTTGTAATATGCTTTTAGTTTGCAACCTGATATATATATAGATATGTAATATAATTGAATGAATAAAAATTCAACTTATTTATCTAAAACTTATATTATCATTATTAACTTTATCTGTTAAATTGATGTAGGTAAATTAATGCTCATAGTAGTTTTTGGTACCTATGTACTTCAGAAAGTATGATATTTATTGCCTAAACACAAT